GGACTTGAACAGGATGAAATACGCTCACATTTTGGCACTTAAGAGATGGAGTAGGACCAGGCTGCAAATGTGCTCATGTCTAAGAAAAAAGCAGCATCTCTATACACTATACTTTTCCTTAACAACTTGAAATTGAGTCAGTTTGCAAAAATAAATTCAATGTGCTTTAAGATACTATACACCTACATCTATTTTTTGTTTCACCCCTACTTTTACCCGTTTTAATGATTTCTCTCTCCTACAGTCATTTGAAAAACCCATACAAACAACAAGATGAAAAAACTGACCACATAGAAAATACTCATAAATTCACAAAATAAACTGAATATAAAGCAAGTTTTATGCAACCTTTTTCAGTTTTAATGATCCAAGGTGCTATCTGTAAGACAAAATATTTTCAGACAGTCCTTCACACCTTTGCTGAGGCTGCCAACAAGTGTACCGATTAGTGCCAAATGTAATACTGGTTTTATGATGCGTTTGGCTACTAAACATTGGACCATAACCGCTTACTAATTTCATGTAGGCAATTAAGGGAATAGCTATGTAACGGCAACAATTTGGACTACCGAAGTGAGTCAGCTATCTAGAGCTGAAATGCTCCATATACCATTTCGATTTCCTAAGCCAGCATTTCAGTACTTCCAGTATATATAATGAATTTATGGAGCAAATAATATGTATCATATGAAAGTTGTTTTGAAAATAATTTGGAGATTGGCATTAAAAACAAACTATAAGAAAAAGAACTGAGGATATTAGGGAGGGATGGGAACAGACATGCCATACAGGTGTGGGCTTTTGCTCCCTTAGATTCTGAGATCCTTGAAGTGCTGTGTATTTAAGGAGCTATAAACATCAATGGTAAAATCATTTATTTTTACAGTGTTTATTCTTCTGGCTTTACTGTAACCCTGAATACAAGGATGTTTCATCCATTCAGAAAGCTAGTGATGGCTGGGCCCAAATACTCTTACTATTGCTCATCGACTGTACGGACCTTCATTATGGATCTTGTGCTATCATTAAAGGAAGGTGCAAGGTGAAGAAAGGACATGAAGAACTTGTCACTAAAGATGGATGCTTTTTCTGCAGGTAATGTACTATTTTAAAAATATCACAGGCTCACATTAACTGTCTTGTTGCCCTTAATTGTTTCTTCATTAATTTACAACTTGGAAAACTTCTACCCTGGCAAAGCTAATCTAATGTGCTATAATTCTTAATTTTTCATTGCACCAAAGACAGATGTGATGAAATTGCCTGTAGAGCTTCTATTTCTGCATAAAACATAAAATACCAGCAAACCCTGCAGCAGCACATTTGAACATGCCAAGCACCTGTATGTATTGTTTGGACATATCAGGCAAGCACAAGAACTCTACAGTAAAGACCTGCCTGCATCTGAAGAAAAGTGTATTGGCTAAACTTTTATAAAAAAGGATACCATGAATCCAGCTAATTTAAGAAATTAAGTAATTGCTGGTATATGTCATTTTTGGGTCTTCCTGTCTAATTTTGTGATTTTAAAAATCACATTTTGCTATTTTGAGAATGTCTTTTGTTGGATGAACGATTCAGACAAATAAAGGAAAACTGGCTGGCAAAGGAAATGATGAAACTGTTATTAGTCACCTCACCACTAATGGCCAGACTTCAGAAGTGCCTAGTGGTAATTACTGAAAACAAAGAAAGCTTCTAGTTACTGAGTTTGTTATTTTTTGAACCCACCCATCATCTTTGTCAAATTCACAGAATAAATACATTAATAATAAGAACATTCCTTTTCCTATATTTTTATGTTGAGTGGTAGCAGACAATAGATTTAAAAAAAAAATCAAACAATTTAAAGAAAGGAGCTAGCAGAATTTCAGTGCACTTTCCCAAATCTACATTTCTGTTACAAACTGTTTCATCAGCTGTGAGCTGCACTAAATCCCTGAAATTTCTACCATCATTAAACCTGCTCTTCTCTATTCAGGGAAACATATTAGTAACTTTCTGGGGAAAGCCTTGCTTAAACAATTTGGACTGCCTCTAATCTAAGTACAGAAAGGGAGAGGGGGAAGAAGAATCCTGTACAGATTGAAATCAGAACCTTTTTAGCTACATATCAGTTTAACCATGATTGTGACCATCAGGGTTGTAAAAGAGTTTCCCTAAACCAAAATATAAGGGCTTCCCTCTCTCCTCTATTTGAGAACCGTATTAGACAGCTACTTGATTGGGTCATAGGAAAGTAGGGCTAGAAGGGACCTCATGAGGTCATCTACTCCAATCCCAAACTCTGGACAAGATCATCCCTGCCTAAACCATCCTACACAACCTGTGTCTGTCTAACAAAAGGATGCTCAACCCTTGACCTGTGGACCAGATCCAGCCCCCAGTGTGTGTAATCTATCCTGTGGGGAACCTCACTGGCTGTGTTCCTGTGTGCTAGATTCAGCACACAGGGAGCGCGGGACCTGATCCCAGCACACGGAAGCCAGGTGGGGGCAGCATGGAGCCCCTGAGCCCAATCCTGATCAAGTCAAGTGGTGCTGGGCCTCCAAAGCCCAATCCCAGATGGGTGGAAGCAGCACATCATACACAAAAATATTAACTGCTCTGTGGCAAAGCAGCTGATTTTAAAATATACAGTATATATAAAAAGCATCATCAATCTAACACAACAACCAAATGCTGAAACACTGAGTTACAGCTCCATAACCCTCACCTGGCAGTGAAAAGGGAAGAAAATTTCCTTTCCTGATTTCACGACCAATTAATCATTTATTGTGGAGTGCTCTGGATGTAAATTCTGCAGCACAGTTCCACAATTTCTGCAGTTTATTAATTATGAATGATGCACCAAACTGTTAATTACACAATAGGAAATGTACGGAAATATATTCAGCACTAATATTTATATAGAATTAAATTATATATAACCTTTTTATATTCATTTTTAATATTTAATTGAAGGAAAACCTCCATTTTTAAAGTGTTTCTGTGTTTATGAAAATTTCTACTGGCTACAGAAGCGAACATGACTGCACCATGATATCAAAAAACCTTGCAAAAAATTAAGGCTCAGTGGGTGCATCTACACGAGATGCTACTGCACAGTTGTTACTGTGCATTTATTTAGTACTTTATTAGCAAGTGCTAAATAAACATGCAGTAACAAAAGTTACTGTGCAGTAGTACCATCGAATGTCTTTTAGATGATACTAGTGCACAGTAGCCTAATAATACCGCACAGTAGCATATTAGCACCATCCATGCTGTGATGCACTACTGTACAGTATTTTTCAGCTACTGAGCAGTCAGTGTCTCGTGTAGACACTCCCAGTGACCTTGAAAGTACATGGGACCCTGTTTAGCAGAATGAACTAAGGTCTTACGAGCTTGTAGTGTGCACTACAATTGAAAAAGCAGAAGATAAATTCTCATGGATTAGAAATCTCAAACTGCTGTTGGAAAAGTAATATACAATTTGCAGGTGTCAGGTACTCATCACTGACCCCAGGGACCAACCTACCTGCTTTGAATAATGTAAACAATTTGTTAGATGAACCCACAACTCTTAATATTTTTGACAGAAAAAATGAAACTAAACTATTTGCACAGATTTTAAAAAATTAAACCATTTTGCATTCTGGGATAAAAAAGCAACCCCAAGAAACAGTCTAACTATTAATAACATTTTTTTTCTCCCTTGTAAACATTTCAGTCATTGTGGGGTCACGAGATTCACAATTACTGAGATCACAAAGCTGTTACTTTCAAACTGGTTCCACATTCACCCATTTCTGTGAAGCTGGGAAGAGGAACTAGGATTCTATATGGAAATGAAAAACTGCCTGGTGCTATAGAGAATCCACTGATTACTGGAGCCAGTCATACATATACCTACTGCATTATTTGTCTGTTATCACCAGTCACTGCTCCTATTAAATTACTGAGAAAAGCTGCTGTTGAGAAAAAAATATTTTAAAAGAATCAACATATCTGTCTATGCTTTATAGAAAAATAAGCCTTTCAGAAAGAGAAATAATAATAAATATGCAGGAAACAGACAACAATGTAGAAATCATTTTTATAGTATGGATGAAACGGTTATGGTGTAATGGTGAAAGATGAGTTGCTTGGATCTGTATGTAATAAATGTTATGTCACACTGCTTTAGCAGTCATTGCAAGCTGAAGTTGCTTAGCAAATCTCAGATAACATACTTGTGACCACTAAACAAACCATGATGAACATAGATTGTGATTCTGAACCTTCATCTCTTTCCCACTGGACAGAAAAACTGGAAAATGTAGACAGTATAGAACAGTGAAGACACTACTCTTCTGAGCAATGTTACCATTGACAGTTCTCATCAATTATTCCCAACACTATTTTATGTACTGTAACAGTACAGGTTACCAGATAGGTTAAGTATTCTAACTGATCTCAAAAAAAGTACACTGGTGGCCCTGACCCTATTTTTCTCCTTACTAAAAGCCCTCAGATAGTCCAAATTGTACATTTCTCCCCCACCCCAAAATATATTTGATTTTCATTTGTGAGCCCATCTTCCCAGAAAGAGACTTCTTAACTTAAGCTCTGAAGTCACAAATACATTCCCTAGGTTTACTGTCCCATGTTTTCACATTTCAAATTCCTTTAAAGAACCTAAAGCTATCCTCACCCACTCCATCATGATATCTCAAACAAATCCCGTATGATTTTTCCTTTATCATCTTCAGATGGAACATCCATTAGGTCCAACTGTTCTGTGCTCTGAAAATCTAACAAATATTTCTGACAAACTTTTACCTCTTCTGGTAGGCTCACTTATCTTTCTCACAAAATGGCTACTCCTAAAACAGATTGCTCTCAAAATGCTTTTCTCCAGTGGCTGTTCGTCAGAACATTCTGTTATTGTGCTATGTCAAGCAGCTAAGAAACTTACAACTTTGAAAATGACTGATACAGTGCAGTAGCTTTTATGAAGATGAAGACTTATTCACCTGCTGGAGTTGTGCTTTTGAGATGCGAATGACAGGGGGAAACTTGTTGCCACTGGGAATGACAGGAAGTTGCCTACGGCCAGCTGAGCAGGAAGAGGAAGACTGACCCTCTGCTGTTTGACTCCTGGGTAACCCAGTCTCTTTCTTAGAGTCCAAGTGGGTAGACAGAAGGGCTATAGGGCTCAGGGTGCGGAAGATGGGACTTGAAATTCTTGGAGTAGAGAAATGCAGCATATGAGATGACTTCAGCTGTGAGAACAACATGGTGGGGAAAACAGTGAGTTTTTCAAATATATATATTTTTAACAGTTTCTTTTTGACCTACTGCCTATGCAGTTCTATAACCAATGTCTTATAGAAACAGGCTTACAACTATCTTAAGCTAAAAGTTGATAGGGTATCTAAGTAGTATCTAAAATCTGATTCCCCCATATTTTCCATCCATTAAAAAAAAGCAATAGCATAAGATGAAATGAGCACTCTTATTCTTCTTGGCCATTCATTTCCCTAACTTCACTTATCCATCCAGCAAGAATCCCTACAGGTATGTCTATATAGTAAGCAAAGAAACTGCTGAAATGGTATTAATTGTGTGGAATGGCTGTCTGTCCTACTTACCTTTGTAAACGTTTTGCACATCCACATAGCAACACTGGGGGCTTTTTGTTTGCTTCTTTTTTAAGAGGAAAAGCACACGCAACATCCTATACAGATTTACACATCTCCACACACAATATCTTTTATATCTATAGTTACATCAGCATGCCATGGGAAGGCTCAAACACTTAGGTTCAGTACGTGGGCCTATGAACTAAGACAGACTCATGGGAAACATCTAAATTACGGAAGCAGGAAGACAAACTGAGCTGGTAAAGCTAGGAGGAATGCTGCCTTCCTACACTTTCTGAATAGAACCTAAAGGCTTCATTCCAAATGCTGCAACAGGAAGGAAACATTTCCAAATCACCCAGCTACTGCCAAATAAAAACAAAATATTGGAAAGCCTTAGGAAGACTACTAAGTGTGGATTAATTTAATGTACAGGAATGGTACAGTCAAAGAGAGGTACACCGATATGCCCCCCCATGCTTCCCCCAGGGGTGTGAGCAGTCA